TGGAGACCTGACAAGCCTGGGTGAATTCTATTCTCCCACTTGGGGATCAGGATTAACATTCAGAGCCAGCCAGTCAGTATCTGCAGTTGGTTAGACCTGGCCCACATAAACTCAGCAGCTCCCAAACGGCCATATTCCATCATGTGTTGAGCCATGTTGATGAGAAAAGCCAAAAGACTCAGTCTGTAGATAAAAACCAAATATAGGAAAAGAGGTGAAATATAAGAAAAGATTCCTAACAGTCTTCTAGTTCCTTGGTCCAGGTGTTTCTTAAAGTCTGATAGTATTCCTATTACTGGATTTCATGACCGCTTTTTATAACATGGAGTCTATGGGTGGTACAAGTGGTTAAACGTCCGACTGCTGTTGAAAGGTTGGTGGAGGTGCCTCAGACGACAGGCCTAGTGATGTGTTTCCAAAATGTCACAGCCTTGAACACTGTATGGAGCAGTTCTACTCTGCACAAATGGGGTCACCATGAGTTGGAATCGACTTGACAGCAACTAACAGTAACAACAATTTTCGTGTAACATCCCCCTCAATCTTTTTTTATTTTACTATAAGAAGTTCAAATGGCTTGTTACTTGCAATCAGTTAACGCCTAATTAATTCACAAAAGTAGGCAAAAACATCCGTAACTTCAAAGGATTTATAGTTTCTTCTGGGCAGAAATTAAAGAAATCTATATGATCAATTTCATGTAATAGCTATCTTTTATGTAATGCCTACAATGTTCTAGGTATTTATGCATGCTTCTGTTGTAAGTGCTTATGCATATTTATTTCTAATCTTCAATATCATCTTGTAAGGCTGAAATTGTTACCATCATTATACAACAGAAAAATCCAAGCCTCAAAGTGTTCATAAAGTTACACAGCTAGTGACAGAGCTGGAATTCAAACCTGGGGATGCTTCAGTCTCTTACAAAGTCCACATCCTGTACAGCCAGCTGCAAAACATATGTGCCTGGAGGTCTAACACCTTCAATAGGATCTCAAACTGAACTTTCAATTCCCCCTGTGGTAGTCCTCATTTCAATAAAGGATGTCGCAAATTTACCCAGTTGTTTGATCAAAAATTATCCTTCACTGAAATTACCCTTCACTGCTCTTTCTCACACATTCCACACCTATTCCATCATCAAATCCTTATAGACATATCTTCTCCCTTTATGAGAATCTGACCTTCTCATCCCCTCCAAGTCACCATTATGTTCTGGGGGTACTGCAATGAGTTACTCAGTGATTTCCCTGTACGCATGCTTGAGTCTGCCTCTCTTATTCCATTCTCCATGAAATAGGCAGAGTGAACATTTTAAAACACAAATCTGATCGTGCCACTCCACTGCTCAGAATCCTCCAACAGCAACACGAATTGGCCTGTCTATCCCTCTGACCTTATCGACTGGCCCCCGCTCACACATTCTGCTCCAGGTTTAGTATCCTCCTCACTGTACCCAAATATTTCAAGCACGTTCCACTTCAGGGCACCGCACTTGACGTTTCCTCTACCAGAAATGCTCTTTACATCCATAGTCCTTGGCTTAGTCCCTCATGTTATTCAGGTCTTTGTTAAAACGTGTCAGCTTCAAAAAGTTTTTCCCCAACTGCTCATTTTCCAGCAGTGCCCTCCCTCCATTTCTCTCCAGAGCACTTACCTCTACTTGACATCACTTAATTCATTTATCTATATACTTTTTTTGGTTGTTGTTTTCTGACTCCTCTCACTAAAGTTTAAGCTTTGTGGAAGGAACTATTTGGTCTGTTTGTTCAGAGCAATATCCCCAGGACCTTCAGCACAGTGCCTGAGATGGGTTAGAGGCTCAGTAAATGACTGAGTGAATGAATAAAGGAGATTAGATACTTCAAAATCTAAGTAAAAATTTCAGTTTACATGGTGTGATGGCTTATTTTATGTGTCAATTTGGGTAGGCTATGGTGTCCAGTCATTTGGTCAAACACTAGTCTACATTCTGTTATGAAATATCCTACTTTTACACAAATAATGTGCACGTTATACATTTTTTGCCAACAGCACAATCCCCTTGCATATTATTGTCCTAGCTGTGCTATGTGCATTACATGTGTGGCCACATTATTTATGTGAGTGCATTATTTGAGAAAAAGATGGTAGTTACATGGGATAGAATCAGTTGGCCTTAATTTAAGTAAAGCCAACTTACCTACCATAATGTAGGTTGGCCTCATCCAATCAGTTGAAGGCCTTAAGAGCAAAAAGGGAGGTTTCCTTAGGGTGTGTTTTGCCTCCAGACTATAAACAGACATTTTGCCAGAACTCCCTCACTCTTTACTCTTCTTGCCGTCTGACCTATGGATTTTGGAACACAGACTAAAGGAATCTCCAGCTTGTAGTCTGATCTACGGATTTTGGATTTGCCAGCCTCCCCACAATCTCATGAGCCAATTCTTTAAGGTAAATTATCTGTCTGTCTGTCTGTCTATTGGGCTGTCTATCCATCATGTATTCATCCATCATCTATCTATATCTATCTTACTGGTTCTGTTTCTCTAGAGAACCCTGACTAAGACACATGGTTTTAAATATTTTCTTCTACTTTCTCTAAGAACCACCCCCTTTCTAGATTTACCCATTCAGAATATAACCCTTTAATTCATGTTCTTATAAACTCTTTATGCTTCTTTAGCTCCTACTCTTATTTGCCCTGTATTCCAGTGATTTATTTGCTATGAATTGGAATGCACGTGAGGGGCTACAATTCTGTCTTGTACACTCTTCTCTTTCATAATGCTGTATAAATTCTTTGATACAAAGAAATGTTGACACAATTCTGAAATTTTTTTCCTTGTTCAATTTTTTAAAATTATCTGAATGCTTAAACCTCTCTTAGAAAGTCAGAAAACCCCATAGTGACAATGCACACATAAAGATTGTGAAGCTAGAAGTTTTCTCAGAGATTTAAAAAAAAAAAAAAGATCCTATCATCCTTGTTGTGAATTTTTCATTCATTCTTTCAACAAATACTTATTTTTCACCCATTATATCTCAGGTAACAAAGATTTAAAATAATTTTCCCGAAGTCATCCAGGAAATGATGGTAGAACCAGGGCTGGGTCCTATGTTCCCTGGCTTGTAGGCTTGTTTACAGGATAACATATGTTTTTTTTGCTCCTGACTTGGCAAATTTCAGATTTTCTAAGATTTTAAATATGAATACCTTAATGATATATAATAGATACTTCAGAGGCATATGTTTTACCTTTTCCAGTGGAAGTGGATTTCTACACTTCATAATTTTGCTTCATTCTTGCAGACTTTAGTCAATGTTTCACATTTAAATAAAAATATTTTTCCCTTATAAGGAGCCCTGGTGGCCCAGTGATTAAGCACTTGGCTGCTAACAAAAAGGTTGGTGGTTCAAACCCACCAGCTGCTCCACAGGAGAAAGATGTGGCAGTCTGCTTCTGTAAAGATTTACAGCTTTGGAAACCCCATAAAGGCAGGTCTACTCTGTCCTGTAGGTTTTCTATGAGCTGGAATTGACTTGACAGCAACAGGTTTGGTTTGTTGGTGCTGATTTCTCCCTTAATGAGATAGATTGACACAATAGCTGCAACAATGAACTCAAACATACCAGTGATCATGAAGAAGGCACAGGACAATGTATCAGTCTGTTATACATAAGGTCGCCATGAATAAGAGCTGGCTCAATGGCTACTAACAAATTTTTTTTCTAAAAACTAACATATTCTAAGCATTATATATTTTTAGTGATACCTATCAACTACTTTTATTTTATCTTAAGATTAAGTTTTGCCTGGTTATTAAGGCAACCGGTCCATAAAACTTTTATTTGTTTTGAGTGTCCAGCACATGGTTGTATATGTCCTTGAAGAGCTTATATTGTAATGAGTAATAATTCACAGAGAACATTTAAGAGGATAGCAAGTTTGTGGATGGTTTAATGAAACAAACACCTAGAGTAGGGGATAGGTGGGGTGGAGAGATTAATGGAACAATGAATCTGTTTCATAGGAGGATGATCTGCCTTGCATCAACTTAATTTAACAAACATTTACCGAGGATATCCTATGGTTACACAAGTGAATATAAACCGTCTCTTTTTACAGGCTCCACAGTCTAGTAGGGGAAATGGACATATGGACTCTTAACATGGTCAGTGGAATGGTGACAACCTAAATGAAAGATCAAAGGCTGCTCAGAAGTACAAGACACCCAAGAGGTTTAGTGGGTGAGAAGGGAGGGGTGATGCGGAAAGAAACTGCATTTCTTATGTGATTACGTATATACAATATAATAAATAACTATACATATATATAACCTACAAAACCAAACCCATTGCTGTCGAGTCAATTCTGACTCATAGCGACCTTATAGGACAGAGTAGAACTGCCCCATAGTGTTTCCAAGGAGCAGCTGTTGTATTTGAACTGCTGACCTTTTGCTTAGCAGCTGAGCTCTTAACTACTGCAAAACCAGGACTCCTATATATATACAGAGAGAGAGAGAGAGAGAGAGAGAACTTCATATCTGTCAATCCCAGATCTTTCAATAGTGAAAGAGAAAGTAAGGATATTTAAATGAAAGAACAGCCACATGGCCTCCCATCATTGTCGGAGTTTGCAATATAATCACATTATATTTATCAAATATTTCTGAGTGAATTTTATGCTAGTCTTTAGCATGTCCTAGGAGAATCTTCTGAATTACATTATGTTCATAATTATTTATTTTGAAATCTAATCATGTCTTCTGAAGAAAATCTCGATATAGTTTTATTCTTAAATGTAAGGCATTTCACTGGTGCTAACAACAACGACACCTACAAAATGACAGGTTTTTTCAAAATGCTTCAATTTAAATGCACTGCTTTAAGTCCTGTTGCATTTGTTTTTCTTTGTAATATTTTCTCCTATGTTCACGGTATATAAATATCTTTGAGATTTAGCTTGTTAACCAGTCGGTGTAACTCTAAGGACTGATTTCTCGAGGGTACTTACATATTCTTCATAAGCCTCATGGGCCGGAGGAGGAGGTGCCCTGTAACCTGGCACTGTTGGTGCCCCCCGCGCTCTTGGGGTAGGGACGCCTCTTGCTACAGGGGGCACTGGAAGAGCTCCACGGGTCACAGTGGTCCCTCGAGGGGTGAGGACGCCTCTTCCAGGTGGTGGGGGAGGAGGAATGGCACCCCCACGACCCCTAGGAGAGACAGGTCATATACACATGAAAAACAAGTGAGGACAGAAAAGGGACTATAATAGATAAAGCTCTCATCTTATATACAGTAGGAAGGAATCTAAATTTATTTATGCATGTTTGTATTTATGTGAGATTATTTAGAATGTAAAGTGTTCTGTCCTCCACAGCTGAATAAAATTTATAAATACTGACTATGATTTAGTTTTCATGAAAATCATGTAAACTATTTTGATATTTTCATTTATATAACTAAAAACCAATGCAAAAAGTAAATAAATAAACACTGCGATGATACTCCAGATTTGCCAAGAAAATCCAGATCATCTGATAACATGACTCATTGGACGATCTACGAAACTAAGCTGTTATATGTCTTGTCTCCTCAATGCTGGGGGTTATTGACAGTGATGTGCGATGTTGTCATTTACCAAAAAATGATCTGTCTGCAGTTTAATAAAATGTGGAACTCTAACCATAGTGATTTCATTCTGTTTATTATTGTGGCTTAAGCTTGAGGTCACTTGAAATCACAGCTCACTGTCACTGATTTGTCATGCATGTAACCCCATGAGCTGGCACTGTACCCAATATAATATATTTTCCTATGTTAACTATGGCTCTAGTGGAATATATTAATACTCTGCAATAAAAAGAATAGACTGAATACTCTGTACTGCAGTGCTTCACACAAAAGTACTTGCACTGAAAGCATAAGATCAAATGGTTGCAGCCAACTTTTATGGTATTCTGTGGCCTTTAGAAAGGTTGAGTATTTGTCTGAAGTCTGTGGGCACTGGCACAGTTATTTCACTTTTTATTATGTCTGAAAGGTTGGCTTCTGGAAAGCACTGCTTTCAGCAGGAACACTAAAGCTTTGGGAGAAAATGATGATCATTGGGATGTCAACAATCACACTTCTTGGCTGTACCCACATATGGAGGATGTAGGTTATACTTTCTGCTATGAATAGCAGTCAGCTGATTCCTTATTGCTTGCAGAAAATGAGCTTTTTTGAGTGAACAGTAAGAATGATGGTAAAGCTTTTAAAAGTTTTAAATAGATTATGGAGCTGATGAATAGAGAAATTTCAGAGACTTGTTCAGTGTGTACTTATTGTGAGTCTAATGTATACAGATGCTCTTCTAGGTTGGGAGAAGGTGAAATACAAAAGATCCCGAAGGCCCAGTGCCTGCTTCAAGTACAACACGGTTAGAAATACAATACTCTATACTATTACAATAGTATAAAAACATATCTGTGGGGAAAAAAAAAAAAGATGTAAAGGCCAATTTTACCCTGGGTGTCCAAGTGTCTATCTGTCTGCTCATAAGTAGAGTGAACGTATGTCCAGGTTTGCTCAGGATAGTTCCGGTTTACAACTGTTCTCCTAGCTTCCTCTTTGATTTATTATATTAGCAATCTCAAAAATGTCCATGCATGGATAATAAATTATAAGGTCACCCTACTTTAAACTATTCAGGTTATCACAAGTTCTGGTTATACCAACGAATAATCATGGGTAAGTATTATAATTCCCTAGGCCTGAAGCAGGCTTAAAGTTTGTTTCTTTTTCCTAAACAGTAAAAGCAGATTTATAAATCTTGCAGAATTCTTCTGCTCTAAAATGATATAATTCTCACATCAAATCTAATTTCTCATCCTGTCCCTTCATCAGCTGACACCCAGACACAGCCCCCGTAAATCTGTCTCCTGAACCTAACTCATTACTTCTGATGTGCTATATCCTTTCCCTGGAATTTTCACTCCATTACACTTTCCTCCATTCAACTCAAGGTTAACTACATCTATTTAGGGTACTGTCCCTGCCCAAATCTACCACAACACTCTTTCCTCTGTTTTCCTGATTTCTTAAAAGAGTATTCACCTCTTGCTCATTCTTCATCTGAATGTGATTGAGGGCCTTCGCCCCTCTGTCAAAAATACTCTTGCTGAGATCACCAGTAGCCTACCGAGTTCCAAATCCAATGGTTTCTTTTATGGTCCTTACTTGCCTGCAAGGAGCCCTGGTCGTGCAATGGTTAAGTGCTCAGCTGCTAACTGAAAAATTGGTGGTTCAAACCCACTCAGCGTCTCCATGGGAGAAAGGCCTGGTGATCTGCTCCGGTAAAGAATAAGCTAAAACCCATTACCATCGAGTTGATTCTGATTTATAGCTATATAGGACAGAATAGAACTGCCCCTAGGGTTTCCAAGGCTGTGATCTCTATGGAAGCGGATTGCCACATCTTTCTCCCACAGAGCGGCTGGTGGGTTCGAAGCACTGACGTTTTGGTTACCAGCCAAGTGCTTGACCACTGCACGACTAGGACTCCTCTCATAAGGATTACAGCCTAGAAAACCCCAGGAGGCAGTTCTACTCTGTCCCATGGGGTCGCTATGAGTTAAAATCAGCTCGATGGCCTGACAACAACATTCGACTGCACCTTTTCTGTTATACGTCTGGAAGATATCTTCATTGGAGTTTTAGGACTTTTCCTCACCTTTCGTCCTTCCTCTTTCCCTCTCCTCAGCCCCCTTCCTTGGCTTCTATTCATTTGTCCACTTTGGAATGAGGATTTCCCCAATTTCTGTCCTCTATTCTTTTCCTTTCTTTCATGGTTGCACACTGAGGTCCCTACCTTTAATGATGGCCATTATCTGTTTGCTTTCTAGCACAGGCCATGTCCTGGATTATGGGTCTTATACCAAAGTTCCCTAGGTTGTCTACACCTTAGGGTCACCTGAGAATCTTTTAAAAATGTCAAAGCCCAGGCCACATTCTAAAACACCAAAACCAAAATGAAACAAAAACAAAAAATCATTGCTGTCGAGTTAATTTCCACTCATAGCAATGCTTTGGGACAGACAAGAACTGCCTCATAGGGTTTCCAAGGCTGTAATCTTTACAGAACTAGACTACCACATCTTTCTCCTGGGAGTGACTGGTGGGTTCGAACCACCGACTTTTTGGCTACACTTTAGACCAATTAAGTCACGATCTCTGGAAGAGGGATAGAGGCATCACTAGTTTTTGAAGCCCCGGGGAGTCCAATGTGAAAGTTTGGGAACCACTGCTTATATATATCATCTAACTTAAAAATCTGGACAATATGACGTGTAGGCAATTCCAAGCTATTTTAAAGGTTGAGAAAACAAGGCCCAGAAAGTACAAGTCACCTGCCCAAGTTCACACTGGTAATCTACGGAGCTAGAATTAATTATAGGAAAAATTATATTCTTCATTTAAATTGATATTTATCTAATCATAGCTGATGGCATCATCAATTCCTTACCAGGCTAGACACCAGAGAGTTGTCTTTTTCTTGGTTCACTCTTCTTTCTCCAATATCTAATTGGGCACTAATTCCTATAAATTCCAATCTCTAATCTGTCCCTAACTCTCTACACTCTTTAGCTAGACCAAGTGTTCTGTGTTTATCTTGGGTAATGGACTTGACTTTTCATGTCTTTCCTGCCATGAGTCAAGTCTCTCTCTGTTTCTCTGGCTTTATCACTCTGTTGCTCTAATTCTTTTCTGTCTCCCACAGAGATGATTTAGTAGCTTTTCTTAGAATTAAATATGATTACCTCTATCTTTAAAAAACTCCATTAGTTCTATGCATTAGTTCTTATTGTAGTAAAAAAAACTATCAAAATTTGCCCCTAATGTTTTACTTCCCACCACTTCCTCTCACTGCAATGTATATGTAGTATGACATATGTTAGATATTGCATGTGTTTTAATTATTCAGTTATGTCATATAAATTATTATGATGCATAGATTTAATGTTTTGTTCTCTGGTATGCATTATAATTGGGATTAGATAGTTATCAGAGATATATTGATTGGAATTTAAATTCCTTTAATTCAATATTTTTTCAACAAGTTATTATAGAGGGTTTAAAATGGTCCAGAGACCATTCTTTCTGAATAAGTGTAATTGAATAATGAAATAAATTTCTGTTTTATAAATTTTATGTACAAATTAGTATCCATTAACTCATGTTTTCAAGAGCTTTCTGATCAATATGATTTTCTGTTTTGTGAAGCTATTTCCTTATTCCTTTTTAATAGTAGAAACATTTCATCATGTTGTTTGAAATAGAAAAGAACAGTGTTCTGCTCCATTTACTTCCCATTAATGTTAATGCCATTAATGATATCAATACAGCATAGAAGTGAGATTTGATTTTCAGCATTAATTTTCCTTTCTTTTTACTACATGTGCAGTTTCCTATCTGTATTCTGTATGGGATATTAAAACCAAAAGCTTTTGATCAATTTTTTCTTTTAAATATTTAAATAAAATCTTTACTTAAATTTTATATGGTCGATTCAAATATGGCAAATGCAATATTACATTACAGAACGTCAATAACCAAGCAAAATCTACTAGTACAATGATTTTACAGACTCAATGTAGCTAAATGCATTATTAGAAAAGAACTGGTACAAATTCCAAGGAATATAGAATAGAAGAAACTCATCCCCTCTGCAGGCATCCTAAATACTGGCATACAATTAGGTTACACCAAAATTGGCCCTTTTTTGTACTATAAAACTGGCAATTTCATATTATTTAACCTATATGATTTAATCCATTTAAGATTACCTGCAATGATATCATCCCACAACTGATCATAATGATGTTAGAAATGTGCAATATTTCATAAAAGATTGATTTCATAAAAAAGTATGGCCATAAAAAAGGGCTGTGTTATGTCACATTAATTCTTAGCAATAAACAATTGACCCTTAATAAAGCATCAGAAAGTTTTATCTCATATTTTTAAAGATAAAATATAAAAATAAAATCTAGAATATTTTCAGAAGTTTTTCCTTTGGTCAAATCTAATTTCTAGGATTGCCATATTCTACCTTTAGGTAGTTACTTTCTTGATAATTCATTTGAAAACTTCTCATTCTTAACTATTTATTCTGACAAGTGTGAAACTTTTTGTGGTGGTTATGATTTAATGTTTAAAATAGTGATATTTTGACAGTGGTGGTTGAAAATATTTGGGATATAATTTAAAAATAAAATTGAATCTGAAAAGTATCTGAGCATGACCTAACAATTTCTACATGATATATGAAATAATATCCTAGATCTATGTCCTTTAAAGATTTAAAGGCCAACTGAAATTGGGTGAAGAGGATGACTGAATCACGTAGTCGGTGGTGAAGGTTATAAGTATTTTTTACTCTACCTTTATGCAAACCATGATTTCTGTTGAAAACCTGACAAGTTTGGAAACCTACAAAACAATTTCGATACAGAAAGATTAAAATTTCTTTGCAAAGTGAACAAAATCAAATCTGTGCTTACCAGATTCATCACCAATGACATTTCAATGTCAAATATATCTGAAATTTAAATATCTTTACCATCAGCCATGAAAGAAGTGTGCTTCTAGTTTTCTGAATGCTAGCATATATATTATCTCTCTCTCTCTTTTTCTCTATCACCTATCTAATAAGAATTTAAGGGTCACTTAAGGCACAGACAAAATTTATAGCTTTTTGCAAGGTCATCCTGGTTCAATGAGGCAAAAGATTATATCATCTGTGTGATCTAGTCCTGGGTATAGAACCAACAAGTAGTAAGTCCCAGGTCCCCTGCTGTTATTTTTTAGGGTAGTTGCTAAGGGGTCAAACTGGGAAGCCAGAATTTTGTAGTCTGACACCCTGTGTGACCTTAAGCAAATTCCCTACACCTTTCTGCACCTTGATGTCTCACTTGTAAACTAGACTTAACTCCTAGGGGTGTTGTAAGAATTAAATGAGTTAATATATGTGAAGCTTCCACATGCTGTCTAAGCATTCAATGTTTTTTTTTTATTAATTGTGGTGATTGTTGCTGATGTTATTCTTTATTCCTAGCTATGATCCTGACCGAGAATAACACACAAAGACTGGTCATCATTGCTGTTAATTTAGAGTAACAACTAATGTACCTTGAAGGAGCCGTGGGAGCTATTCTGATCCCTCTGCCTCTAATACCTCTGCCGCGACCAGAGTCCTCTGAGCCATTTAAGTAAGATAATTCACGTAGTTGTTCCTGACGAATTTCATCATTGTAATCCTAGAAGAAAAAATAAGACCCAGTGAGTTCAAACAGAGCATGGGGTTCTTGGAGTTGAAAAAAACACAAATAAGAAAGAAATATTTTCACTTATTTTCTGGAGTCTGGCACACAAAAATCTCAAATGGTGTAAAACTGTATATACTCTGAATATCTATTTTTATGTCAAGAAATTGAAGTTGCTCCTTTCATCAGTGAAGTACTCAGCAGGAATCAGATTAGATGCTTTGGGATATCACTTGATGTGGTAGCCAGAAAGGAGAAGATAGCAATAAGGAACAAGAGCTTGGAATATACCAAGGTTATGATTGTAAATGAGGGTCACTGAAAAAGGACTTCACTGAGATGAATATGTGTAGATTATCAATGACTGCATGAAGCCTAAACAGCTCCTGATGCATAAACTGAAACGGAGCACTCTCGAGGCCCAGGCAGATACTGAGCTCCTGTGAAAACAATAATGAAGTGCAAATGATACGGCACAGCTTCAGACAACCGGGAAGCTGTGAACACAAACAAATAACCTGATGGGCAACAGACGAAAACACGGAATCTTCTGTGTGTACTAGCGTTGTGCTTACGGAAAGTAATAGCTAGAGTGGAGGGCAACTTTCACAGTAACAACCAGAGATTCAAAGTTAAGGGGACTGTCTTTAACCATCATCAGTGTGGAAATACGTCAGCCACTTTAATAGGACCAACGAGTGGATTTCATCACTAAAGTTAAACACTACCTTCAAAAACGAAGCACCAGCTTTATCGGCTATTTCTTTTACTAGCACACACAGGGGCACACATGCATACACACACCCACACACACGCCTACAAACACACATCTGGTTGATTAGTACAAAATCAAGTAATTATTTTTGCCAGATGGCTGATCTGATTATTTTTTCTAAATATATGTTTAAGTGAAATTAATCAGTTGATTTGGGCACCATGAAATCACCACTACAATATACTCAATTTTGTTATAAAGTTAGTTATACCAAGCACAGTGATCATCTGTCATACAGACCCTACACACTGTATCCTGTGGTAACTCTGGTGATTATGAATATTAATTTGAATATATAGAAAAGCCAAGAAGATTCCCATTACCAGAGAAATCACTGCAATCTGTTATATAATTAAATATTTCTGGACAATAGAGTGACTGAATCCATTCATTCATTCATTTAGTACTCATTATTGCCTAAAGATTGTGCCAGGTTTTAGGAATACCATAAAAAACAAAAAAGACCCAATGCTTGCCCTCATGGATCTGAACCTTTCTTTCTGGCTATTGTGAAGCAGACTGAACTGGTTATAATTTAAAGCCTAAAAGAATTGGTTCTTTTGTAATGATTGAAAACGTATTTTCATATAAATTATGATAAACCTTGTTGTTGTTGTTAGGTGCCATCAAGTTGGTTCCCACTCATAGCGACCCTGTGTACAACAGAACAAAACACTGCCCGGTCCTTCGCCATCCTCACAATCGTTGTTATGCTTGAGCCCATTGTTGCAGCCACTGTGTCAATACATCTCGTTGAGGGTCTTCCTCTTTTTTGCTGACCTTCTACTTTACCAAGCAAGATGTCCTTCTCCAGGGAGTGATACCTCCTGACAACAAGTCCAAAGTATGTGAGATGTAGTCTTGCCATCCTTGCTTCTAAGGAGCATTCTGGTTGTACTTCTTCCAAGACAGATTTGTTCATTTCATGATAGGATAAGTACTTCACAGGGTCAGGGTTTGAAATGAATGTTTAAAGGGAACTTAACATGTTCTATGGATCTAGGAAAGCTTCCCTAAGAATGTGATATTTAAGCTGAGAAATGAGTAGACTAGGGAAAGAAGTAGGCAAAGAGAGGTCTAGGAGTTGAGGCTAGAGATAGTTGCAGAGGGCAGGTCAACAGAAATGGCGTTTGAGGCATAGCCGAGGACCCCCAAAACAAATGTATCATCTGCTCCAAATGATGCTAGTTTAGCTCTGCATACGGATGCTATAGTAATAATCAATCAAAGACTGTAAACACTCACCCACACATCTCTGTCTAGGAAATGGCAGGGATGCTTTCAGCCTACTTTGATTTCTAACACACAGCTTCACTTTATGTTCCAGAAACTGCCTGGATTACAAGCAAAAGTACAAGCCTCTCCAAAGCGTTTATTTTCTTATTTTTTAACATGTTGCTTTCATGTTTATCCTCTTCAGCACCTGATTACTGATTACAGTGACAATAGGTTCAATACAGTTGGCTGACAGAAAAGCCATATAGTAGAAAACTGCAGTTTCTAACAAGTCAAAAATTATTCAATTTCTACCATCTAATTTTTACATTCAAGCAACAACTAAAGAATAAACATATCTATTATTTATTAAGATCAGGCATATGGTGAATTTCTACCTTTGTATGAACTGACCAGCCAGCATCAAAATGAAAACTCGGTCCCATAATTTTCCCATGTAATAGCACCAATTTGAAAGGGGATCTTTGCAGCTTCTGACCTGAGGAAAACCTGTTGACACTCTGGGTCCTTATGATTTGTAGAAAGAACAAGATGGTTATTATTGGCAACATCTGAGAGCTGAACTAAGAATCAACAAATTGTAGACGAAATTGAATATATGTAAAAATAGAGTCCCTGTGTCATGCGAATGGTTAATGTATTCAGCTGCTAACTGAAAACTGGCGGTTCAAGTCCTCCCAGAGATGCCTGGAAGAAAGGCCTAGCAATCTACTGAAAAATTAGCCATTGAAAACCCTATGGAACACAGTTCCATTATGACACACATGGGGTCCACGAGCCAGAGTTGACTTGATGGTAAATGGTTTTAAAAAATGTACTTCATCATATAAGGAGCCCTGGTAGTGCAGATGTTAAGTTCTCGGCTGCTAACCAAAAGATCTGTAGTTCGAACCCACCAGCCACTCCGAGGGAGAAAGATGTGGTTGTCTGTTCTGTAAAAATTACAGCCTTGGAAACTCTATGGGGCAGTTCTACTTTGTCCTACAGGGTCACTATGAGTTGGAGTCAACTCGATGGCCGTGGGTTCTTTTTTTTTTTTGGTTACCTTATCGTTTTAATATTTTTCATGCCAGAATCAGAAAACGTAAAGCATGGATGTGGCCTTATTCACCATATAATTATTTTTAAAAAAGAAGTAAAATTAGAAGGAGCAGGAGAAGGAGAAGGAGGAGAAGGGTGGAGAATGTACTAATTGGATGATGTGGTAGAAATGATTCTCAATTTGTTCAGGTTTACCTATCTGCATGCCCTTGGATGGGCCATAACACACTGACTCTGGGCTTGACCGTGTGATTTGCCTTAGCCAAGAGGACAACAAATGTGATAAAAGCAAAGACTTAAAAACTGCTTGCTCATTGAGACTTGCCCTTTCTTGCCACAGGAAACCCTTATGCCACCATGTGAAGATGCTCCAGCTAGCCTCCCACAGGATGAGAGACCATGTGGAGAGAGGCTCCACTCATCCTACGTTTCCAGGCCATACCATCTGTGTTCCCAGGCATATGAGTGAGGCCATCCTAGGCCGTCCTAGGCCATCCAGCCCCAGTCAAGCTGGTAAAGGCCAGAAGAATCATCTAGTCAACCTCAAAACCGGAGACAAAAATTATAAGTCGGTGCTTTAAGCTACCAAGTATTAAGATGTTTCGTTTTGTGCAAAAGCTAAATAATATAGAAGGGATTTTGTCCAAAAGGAATGCAATAGACCAGAGTCAGAGAAGAATACTATCTCTAGCCCTGTCCAGGGAGAGGGTGCTCTGGCTCAGATGTGACTTATATGCTTCTTGGGGCACGTGTAGCCTTAGTATGTAGGTGGAGATAATGGGATGTCACAGCATAGTGTCATTAATGGTTTGCATTGTCTACTGGAGAAGGACATCATGCTTGGTAAAGTAGAGGGTCAGCAAAAAAGAGGAAGACCCTCAGCAAGATGGATTGACACAGTGGCTGCAACAATGGGCTCAAGCATAACAATGATTGTGAGAATGGCACAGGACCAGGAAGTGTTGCATTCTATTGTACATAGGGTCGCTATGAGTTGAAACCGACTTGATGGCACCTAACAACAACAACAACATTGTCAACTGAAATCTCTTTGTTCAGAGTGCAAGCTCACCAATCCAACTGCAGATTGCAATTCAGCTTCCTACATAAGAATCTGCCAACAAGGAGAGCATCTGTTAATCACATTAGCATGAATATTTGAAACTGCAAGTTAGGTTAATTCTTAATTTAAGCAAAACAACTGCTGTTGACATATAACTAAGTTTCTTATAAACATAGTTAGAGACACTCTGTTCTAAAAAATGTGGCCAAGAGAAGGTAGACCTCCAACTACAGGTGTAATTGTTCAAGAATTCCACTTGCTGTGCTCGGAAATCCATTGTTTCCCTATTGCTTCTGACACCACATTACCTAAGGGCTGCCCCAAGCCAATCACCAAGTAGGGTTGAGGTGCTACTGTAGGCCCATTCCTCAGAGACACACAACTCCTCTGACATGCCTCAAGTGCCCCCCAACAGCCTTGCTGAATCTTCCTTTAACTGCACCAGGGCTGTCTAGGATGCTCCACTTTCTTTCCTTGGGGCCAGACTTACATTGCTGTGTGAGGGCTCTCCAACCTTCCCTGTCTCCCTCCCTATTTTTCATCACAAAAGCATTTCCACTAGTAAAATCCTTACATGTTTAATGCCATTTTGGCCTGCTTCTTGGAAGACCAGATTTACACACAGAGTGCTGACAGATGAAGTTCTTAAGATCACGAAGCTGAGAGCTTTGTTAAATCCATTGATGCTAACGCTGGTGGAGCCTACGCCTTTCAATGCACCTACTTACTGATCAAGGAGCCCTGGTGGCAAAGTAGTTAAGCCTCAGCTAATTGAAAGGTTGGTGGTTTGAACTCACCGGCTGCCCTGCGGGAGAAAGATGTGGCATTCTGCTTCCATAAAGGTTACAGCCTTGGAAACCCTATGGGCAGTTCTACTCT